TACACCTGCAAGCCACATTTTGTTGCTGCTCACGATAACCCTGTGTACCTTGGATACAAAACCCTTTTGTTTTTAAGGCCAGATATATCTCAGACCCAACACTACTGTGCGGCACCAACAATAAAAATGCATAGTCAGTTCTAATATACTATTGTCCTATTAGCATTTGAATGAACTTGTCATGCCGTTTACTTACCCGTCGAGCTGAAATCAGGCGTGGAATACGATTTAAAATGATCAAGTACATAGGGTCGTCGAACCTTCACTCCTTCGTGTTCTAAAATTCCTCATGTGTTCTCTTTAAAAAACGTTTTCGGGGACGACAGCCTTAAGTAAAGAATTAGAAAGAAACAGAGTTACTATATTATGACGTTTTTACAGACCAAGATCAAGAATCAAAACCATAACCACCCTTGCGTCATTGGTTCATTCCCTTAGTCAGTAGGGCCATCGTGTTCGTCAATAGATTAGGTCCCCTTACTTTTAAGTGTGTGGGAGTGAAAACATAGCCTTTTAACTCAAGAAGTTATCGCTGCGTAAAAGGTTAAGCCATGAATTAGCAGCTAACATGCCTAACGCAGCTCATCTTGCTCACAAAATTAGAAAGAAATTACAGTTAAATTAAATGGAATGGACGTCTTTCGTTTTCTTTATTTGCATCAACACCAGCTTGCAGCTGTGGTTGCGTCTGATGCCAGTTAAGCCTTGCTCCAAAAAAAACCAAAAAAAAAAACCGCTGCATTTTCTCTACAGCATGGCTGTCACCGAAAACTATCGGGAATTGAATATCGGTTCAAAAAATGCAGCCGAACATTCCGCATACGTCAGCGCATGCATCGTCAAGCTAAGTACAGGCGGAAATGAAGTTTGAAGTTTTCTGATTATCAGTCACAGAGTCTATGAATAGATTTAGCATTCATGACTGGCCTACCTAGATTTCTGGCGTTAATTCTGGAACGGTGGCGTTCTCAATTCGTCCGACGATCACTTTTTCTAAAGGATCCCATTCATTGAAGGAGCAAACTGGGCTTATAGCAACTTGGGCTTTCTGTTTTCCGAATGGCTGAGTACTTCTTGACCATGTCAAAACTTGATATATACTGCCAAATATTTTTTGTAATATAATACAATCTTTCTTAGTAAACGGTAATATTTACCTATACTATATATATATAAATTACTCCCTTCCTCCATTCCCTTCCTTTCATAGAAATTTAAGTGTTATTCCACAAAACTTATTATCTTCCCTTATTTTCAGCAACAACATTCAAAGTACTCCTCTTCTCTCCGCATGTACACTTCTTACCCTTCCAATTAAAACTTACACATCAACAAAAAAATAACATCAAAACAATAAATATAGGCATATATATATATTCACACCTGGGCTGTGTATATATATTGCCTTGGTTTGGCTATTTAATCATTAGTGGTCGTGGGACTAGTTTGGGCCCTACTTAAGCTGGTCGAACGTGTCGTTTGGGTCTATACCCTAGCTGTACTGATGAGGCCTGGAAGGCCGAAATGGATCCGTCTGCAGATATAGGGATTCCTTCCAGTGGATGCTTAGTTTATTTTGTCATTTCTGATCGGATTTTCTCTACTGTTCCGTTTTAATTTTAAATAGTTTTGCATTATGTGGCCGTTTGCTGTTTTATGGGTTTTCTCATTTGCCTTTTAAAATTTATATATTAAAGAATCTCTATTGAGATCCAGCGGGCCGCCACTGATGCACGGTAGAGATTGCATCTTTAGATCTCCGATCTTGTTCACAAATTCACGGACTAGTGCTGTCTTGTCTCGTAAGAATTTCGTAGGACGCGTTAAGAATGACAAAATATTCTCTGTATCTACTGGAACCGAGCCACATAGCTTGTATTCTGTGTGTGTGTGTGTGTGTGTATATATATATATATATATATATATGTATATATCTAAAAAATGGTGTACAATAATTGAAAGTTGACTTTATACAATTTATTATCCTTTTGTTATAAGCGACAATCGTCCTATATCTATCACCTTAATAGTATTTGAGCAAGGGTGACCATTTGTGCACCCTGACCCCAACGTATAGTTCCATGTGCAACTTTAATTCACATTAATGTAATCGAAGTAATAATTTTCATAATCTGATTTAATTGATTGACTTCTACTTCACCACCACATCAACCATCACAAATGACTGACACCACTGATGACCACAAACACCACCACCACCGCAATCAGCACCTGCCACCACCACCACCATAACAGGGGGCACAAATTAAAAGAGGGCACTTCCGAAAGATTGTTTAAATGAGCTTACGAAACACATCCAATTATACTTCGCTGCACTTTGTGATACCTATCGCAAGCTGTATTCAGAATAATACAGCAGTAAAAACATGCAAATATCATTAGTTTTTGGGAGCTGGGTTAGTTTAAAAAAAAGTTTGCTTGGTTGAAGTAGTGCAGGAGGCTGTCTGAATTTCACAGGTTGCGGGACACTTCAGACCCCTATAGACGAGTCGAGTATCAAGGCAGGGGCGCCGCTAACTACAGCCCTAACATCAGCGGTGGTTCCAGCCGCTCCTCGCCAATAGTTCGGTTCTTTAAACCAAGTCTTCTCGGAAAAGGACTTGGAAATGGAGGTCCAGTGTACACATCTGACTCGTGTGCACTTTAAATAACCCATTGCATCTTTCGGAAGAGTATGAAGTTACCCGATTTTATGGTTCATTTGAGCACCTGTCGTGGAATGAAGTGATGCTACGATAAGCGACTCTTTACGGCTGCTAGTTAGTCATGAATCATGCCCATGTGCAATTCAGCCGCGAGTTATGGGTTACTCTCCTACGTTTCGTAATAATGCATCATGAGTGGATTTCTCGCATGATAAAAATCATAATGGTACTGGGATTGGTCTACAGGAGTTCGTGCTTCAAACAGGTCATTCCATTCTTAGAAGAAGCATTTTGATGGAGAAAGTGCACCTTTTTAGCAAGGTTTGCCTAGGTCGAAACTAACTCCGGCGGTCTAAACTAACTCCGGCTATATAAAATTTATTAGAAGTTTGAAAAATGTTATTCTTATTAAAGAATAGATATGGACTACTACGTTTATTTTTTATTGATCTAATCTATGTCAATTAACATTTAGAGTTAATAATTATAATTATTTAAGTATAAATTTAAAATTACAAATATTATGGGAATAATCATCTAAGTTTATAATAATATTTAATAATACTTAAATATAGCAAGTAGTAACTAATGTTACAATTATGTTATTGTTTATTGAAGTCTACAAAAAAAGATAGGAAGGAAGAAAAACAAAGAGGTCCGGAGCGGCTTACATTTGTACCAAAATTTATATAATAACGATAATGGCTCGTAACTATATTTTACGTGTTTGTAGTAAATTTTGGACACTAATCATCAAAGGTCAAGTTGTCAAGTCTACATGTTTCATAATTGCATGTTTGAAGAAGTGCTTCCAGGCGCTTCTCATGATACGCAGGAAACTTGGGACACCTGTGATAATAATGTGTTCACATAAATATAGAATGAAATGTGTTCCAAAAACCTACTTCAACAGGTCATCCTTTCCTTCTTTCTGAAGAAACTTGTTGAATTATTCCAATGCTGTTTGTCCTGGAATATCTCCTCCAGTAAAATGACCATCATTGGTCCCACGCCATCCTCCTCGTCCCAGTTGCGGAAATACCTCTGATACTCGGGGCCCCCAACTTGCCTGATACGCCGTTTACAGTGAGCTTTTGCAAAGCGACACTTTCCTAGAAGGAAAACAATTAATAATGCACAGAGTATTTATTATATCTATATTATATACTTGTTTATATTATGTTTATCATATTTTTATATTTACTATAGTGGCGTAACAACAAATCAAAACGTTGTGGCAACGTGTATTAGCAATTGATTAAGAGTGAGTTGAATGTGTAGTTGAATAGCTTGGTGGTTGAATGTAGCGGAGTTAAAAAGCTTGGTGGTTAAGATGCTTGCCTTCCAATCCATGGTGCCTGGGTTCAATTCCTGTCAGTGTTGCAGGAATTTTTCTCACGACCAAAACAACTCCACTCCCTAAATCTCATATTGAGATTTAGTTTGTGTAAAGCATCGTGTGTGTATGTTTGTCTTGTGTAAGGGATTGTCACCTACAAGTAGGACAGTGATATATTCGCTATTGGCAATCCTCGGCACATGTATTGTGTGCCTAAAAAAAGAAGAAGAAAGTCACAAAATGCCATATCCTGTTATATTACTCAAATTCTCTGTGAATTTTAGTAGCACATTACATTCATGAGTTAAAAACCAGAAATTATATTATATTTTGCTAGTTTTTGGGTGTCTTCTTTTAGAAAATTATTGTGTATTATAATAAGGAGTAGGGACCAAGTGCTTTGTCCCTCCTCTCCTTGAGCCGATCTAAAACTTACCTGGTTGAGGTACCTTTTCAGATTACGTGCCTTCAACAGCTCTCCTTTACCAGCTCCCTTTGATGTCTTTGTTCCTACTTCTAATCCCTTTGCTTTCTTCATATTTTGAATGTTGGTTGCTTGCATAATTTCAGTTAAAATGTGACACCTAGAAATGAAGAAATCATCAATTATTAGTCAATCAATCAATTAATCATTACTATAAGATTTTAATTATTATTTTTCTCATTTTCATCATTATTATTTTTATAATTAGAGAAGATTAACTTCCTTTTTTATTACTTTGATATGATTTACAAAATGTTATATTCAAATATCTATATCTTAATAATCATTGAAAAATGAAAGACTGAAAAAGAAAAAAGTGAAGAAATGCAATGACCGCATATCTGGGCAAGAAATGCCAATGACAAAATGGAAATAGATCAAACATCATATTAACATACCCTACATGATATTAAATTGACTATTTTAAATAATTAATTCATAAATATATGCATCATTTAAAAATAAGGAACCTGATTTGTTAGAGTTCTTGGGTGTCATGACAGCTATTAAACTGCTTAAAATTTAAAATACATTGACAATTTTGAATAATTTATTCATGAACGTATGCATAAATTTAAAATAAGGACCTGATTTGTTGAAGTTCTTGGGTGTCATGACAGCTATTGATCTGCTTTAAATTTAAAATACATTAACTATTTTGAATAATTTATTCATGAATGTATGCATAAATTAAAAATAAGAACCTGATTTGTTGAAGTTCTTGGGTGTCATAACAGTTATTGATCTATTTTAAATTTAAAATACATTGACTATTTTGAATAATTTATTCATGAATGTATGCATAAATTAAAAATAAGGACCTGATTTGTTGAAGTTCTTGGGTGTCGTGCCAACTGTTGATCAGCTTATGAAATCCTCATAGGTTGATGAGTACATGTAGTTGTGATTGTGTTTCTTTGCCAACTGCTCTGTGTATTCCATGTGCATTAAGAGAATGTTGTTCACATAGCTGGGACTGCATAGCATATCAATAGCTGGCTTAATGACTGAAACCAAAAATAAAATATAATATTTTTCAGGTAAACTAAAGATTCCTGCATAAAATAAACAAGGTTGCTCACTTGCACTGTTCAGTTCACCTAGCTAACTAACCCATGTAACATCAACTACATTTAAGTTAACCATGTTAACTTACATCATTAAGTTCACTTGGTTAAGTAATAGTGCTGATCACCTGTATTTAATAGACCGGGTAAACTAAAGATTCCTGCAAAGAATAAACAAGGTTAGGCAAGACTTTTTTTATTCTTTGTTTAGCGCACTTATTTCTTTTTTTAAATCATCGGAAAAAGCAGAATAAAAATAAAATTAAAGATAAAATTTTGTTTTCTTACATAGCAAATAGTTTTGCCAATAACATCCACACGGAGAAGAAAATGAAAATAAAATTTTATTAGTGAATGTAAAATGGAATGGGTAAATGCTTCAAATTTATATAATTAGGAAGAAATAGGTGCAAAGGCAAGCCAAACCAGTCACTCATCGCAAATCCTGTTTCAGAGATAATGGGCAAAACTTTTTATTACACTAAACTAGCTTTTATATATTTATATATCATGCTATGATGTTATTTTCCTCATTTTCAATGTTATAGCTAAAATTTTTAACTACTTACTGATGGTTTCTGCCAGAGAAATACCCAAAATCATAAACATTGCAGACTGATTGTTCTTTTAACTCCTGTAACTTCATAACAAAATGTCGGATTTAAATGATTGTTTTACCACTTTCTTGCTCTCATTTTACTGTTTAACCATGAATTAACAACTAAAAATCAATTTTTGCGAAGAGTGACTGGTTTGGCTTGTCTTTGCCACATATACATATCTTATCAGATCTTTGGAGATTTCAAAGCGGCGGAGGGTGTAATAAAAAATTTTTTAAAACTTTTATTTTTTTATGAAATTTCCGTTAAAATTTTATTTTTATTAAAAATCATCAATATTTGCAAATGGCAGGTTTGCTAAACAAGGTATAAAAAATCTCGCCTTAACTCACTTGCACTGTTCAGTTAACCTAGTTAATTAACCCATGCAACATCAACTACTGTACATATAAGTTAACCAGGTTAACACACATCATTCACTTGGTTAAGTAATATGTGCTGATTACCTGTATTTGAACTAGAAATTCTCCTTTTACGCTGTGCAGTAAACGCATAGGCCTCTCACGGTGTGATGTTTCTCTTGAGAATTGGTAAGTACGAGTTTGAAAACATTCAGACTTACCTAACCTAAGTATTGTGGTAACAAACAATTTACTACAACAGGGACAATGACAACATGAAAAAATATTATAATTTCAAACAAATTAGAAATTTTCTTTGGGAAATATGATAGTATGTAGCGTAATTTTCCTGATTAGTGAATTATTAATTATGCAAATGAGCAATTAGCACATTCACACATGTACCAAATAAACAATACGCTCTGTCTTCTTATTGCCATCTTGGATTCTGCCAAGTTTGAAACCTATCAGACTTACCAAAAACTTTAGTTATCGTGGTAACAAACAAATGACCAACCACGACAGTGACAATGACAGCATGAAAAACATAGGTAAAAACAACAGCCTCCCAAGAGCTTCACTCATTTGGGGAGAATAATAACCAAGTGAATTCCCTTGTACCAATCAGTTCATCTGGTTAACTAATATGTGTAGATCATCAAATTTCAATAAATCAGGTTATAACATGAACTGCTCTACCTACCTAAATTTAGTTCAGTTCACCTGGTTAACTAATATGTGTAGATCAATTTCAATAAACCAGGTTCTATAACCTGAGCTGCTCTACCTACCTAAATGTAGTTCAGTTCACCTGGTTAACTAATATATTAAATCACCAATTTCAATAAACCAGGTTATATAACCCGAGCTGCTCTACCTACCTGCCTGTAGTTCAGTCCACCTGGTTAACTAACATGTGTAAACCCAATTTACCTGCTTTTGATTAAAACCCAGTAATTCCACCTTAGTTTACACCATGGAGGTATTATTGAGGAGATCACTCGGAAACAATACTCAGATTTTGGATTGATTTTTCGAATAGTTAACCCTCGTTAACCCCAAAATGACTTAGTTTATTATAATCCTCAATCATTTATTAATTAATATCTGTTAAAATTAGAATTGGCGAATTCTGGCCAATTTATGGAAATTGAAGTTGAAATATACTATACTTTTAAAGGTCATGTAAATGTTCCATTAAATTCAAAACTTTTTTTGGTGGAAAATATTAATATATTTGATATTTTATGAGAGATAAATGTATCAGCTTAAAAATGAAAACGATTGCGCAGCCATAGTGATTGACTGTATGTAGTGCGCATCGAGAAAAGAAGGTGCTCTCCATTTCGCCATGTTCAATTTTTTGGTAAACTATGCCTGCTGAAAATTTGATGGCGGGGAACACATGGGACTTCAAAGGCATCGCGCAAACGTTCTTCACGCGTTTCGGCAGCTTGATCTTAGTTCATTTGCATAGCGCTGCGTGCGCGTAGCTTTTTCGAGTGATCTCCTTCTCAATAATACCTCCATGGTTTACACCATCTGGTTAACTCACCTGAACATGTCACTATTTCACGTATGACATGACGTGCAGTCTCGGAGCTGGCTATCCTCTCCGGCAACAATAGAACATGTAAAACTTCAGTTGCTTCCCGTAGGAATTCTGTCTCTGCAACGTCACTTTTTAAACAGGGGTGCAACTGGAAAGGTTGTAGTTTCCCTCCACCTTCAGTACTGTAATAACAATTTTTAAAATGTGCATTTTTTTAATAGAAAGTTGGAACACATACAAGCATAATTTTGGATGAGCCAAATATTAATCACTTGCTTGTTAAAAATATAAAACTACTGGCCTTTCCATTCTTATGATTAGCTGTTAAAGTGTACAGTTACCTTGGTGATGTCTCCCGAAGTTCCCTGAAGTGATCACATAATTTTTCAGTAACATCCAGGGCCATGAACCGCACCTAGATGAATGAAATCAGCTTAGTATGATCAATACTTTTGTTGTATACTAACTCTGTATGAATATGTACCAACAGACATTGTACTACTCACACTTGAGAAAATGGACTGTTCCACTAAGCTCCACCCCCCCTACCTTGGATACCGTTACTAAGGTACCACAACAGTCCGAGTGTGCGGTCGTAAACATGCGTTCTTCTAAGAAATGCATGTATTCTGGCACGCCTATTGAATAACATAATTTGATTGGTCACTGGTCTGATACTCCATAAAATGCCATTGTTTCTTCCCTATTCTTGGAAAAACCCTTTCCCATAAACATGGTTACAGGAATAAATGGTTAATTGCAAGTTAACTACTCAAGCTGAAAAACAAGGATAGCAGTGAAATTGATCCAGAGACCCACAAGCCTTTATGGTTCAGTGAACATACAGTTGCTACTAATACAGCCTATAATGTATGTTTGGTTTAAGGTCTTTTTTGTGAGGGCCTAGCAATAATTTGCCAACAGACGTGGTTTTTCGCCTTCATATTGGCGAGGCTTTACGATTGGCCAAAACTTACTGAAACTTACCATATCCACTTTCTGTAACCTTATAACCAAGTTGGTAATCAGCACCCACATATCGTCTCTGAAATATTATAGAAAATGAAAAATAACTGAATAAATAGTTTGAAGATGTGTCTGTGATTTGTAAGGTTGTCATGAAAAACCATCACATTTATTCTGCAAAAATTGCAGAATAAATTTTTAAAATGAAAAAAACCTAAACCACATTATGTATAATAATTCTAGAACTGTTTAATCCATAATACACCAAGCACAATTTGATGTAAACTTACTGTAAGCTTTTGTCTATGTTATCAACAATTATTATAAGCAAACCAGATAAAAACTATTTGAATACTTACACAGTATAATAATCAAAAAAAAAATATATAGTGGTATATAGAAAATTATGTGGTTTTTATAGAGATTGTCTGTCAGACTTAAATCCAAAGGGGAAGAGTTTTAGCCATAAATTCTGACCCTAACTCTGCACCTGCTACTGTGACCCAAGAATTTACCCCATCTCATGGCCATCACTAGTTATCTGTTGGTCATCTTGCCTGCTTTAAGGAATATGGACCAAAGTTTTGGTAGACTAAACATTTAAAAATATTAACATACTCCAGAGCAGATATGAATGTGGTATAATCCTTGCCAAGGTCTCTGTACCAGACCATAATTATCTTGAGAAGAAGCCCATCTCGAATCGAAAATCTACCAAAATACATGTCCTATCCCTGTCTCTTATACACATCTAGATGTGTATAAGAGACAGATGTAGAGTAATCAATATTAACATTTTGAATTAATTTTTCTTGTGTATGTATTTCAATTGCACCAACATCCACAAACAGAGGCAGCAATATGCAGCTTCAGTTCCCATACCATAAAACCTTGAATTGAAGCCCAGTGGGCTTAATCTCGAGATGAAGCCATCTCGAATTGAAGCCCCCTCTTTAGTTTGCAAAATTAACCTTGAAAAGAAGCCCATCTGGGCTTCTATTCAAAATAGCATGAGCTATAAATTGAATACAAGCTCAGTTTATACAGTAGTTTAGTTGATTTAATGCCAGTTAAATACACTCCAGGTACAGATTGATGTTACAGTGGCCTTATTTATTGTTTTATAGTACAAATTCACAAAATTTACAGCATTCTTTTTGAAAAGAAGACGCCCCACCCCCTCTTTACATTGCAAAAATAGTCTCTAGAAGAAGCCCATCTCGAAAAGAGGCCCATCTCGATAAAAGCCCATCCAAGTTCGCAAAAAAAAAGAAGCTCAGGGCTTCAATTCGAGATTTTACGGTATTTTTATAATTTTATGCAATCATCATAACATACAATTAACTTTGCTCTCTGAGGGGGAATTCAAAATCAAAGAAAAAAAAAATCTTAACTAATGGTTATAGAAAATCCAAATTAATGGCAAATAAAATTAAATAACAAAATCAATAATATCAAATCAAATCAACATAGAATATAAAATTTAATCAAATCAAATTCATAGGGAAATCAAATGAATATGGTAATTATTGCATCAATTGATAATTGTATTATGCATATCATAAGTAGATTGATAGATTGATTGATTGATTGATTGACTATATAATATACCGTACCTTCTTTGATGGCTTTATCCATGGCTCTGGATATCACCACGCCCCTTCGTTTTCGCTTTTTCTTTCTTGTTAGCATTTCCTAAAGCAAGAAAATGTATAATAATTAATAATATTTGCCTAATAATTATACAATCTTTATGTTAGTATTGATAGTATTACAATAGTATAATTATATTATTGTACTTTGAAATAATAAACATAATCAACAAATAATAAAATTTCTTCAGTAAAACCAAGACTTAATGATCAGACCTGCAAAAGATATTGTAGTGCCTGACTAGTTAAAATTATCTTTATAGAATGCCGCCACAACAAGATGTTTTCTGAACATCATGTAGCACAACAGCATTTGTCTAGAGCAAACATGGCTCCAGAGAAAGGCACTACGCCCCTGACTAACACTACAGTCTTACGTTCAACGCATTTTTCTCGAACCTGACAATGAGCTTGTACTTTGATAAGAACCCTTAACTTCAATATCAAAAACTTAGTCTGTCCTATTGATTAATATTACAAGACAATTTTTTGAATACAGGTCTCATTCTAATTAAAGACCACTCAAAGTAAAGATCACCTCCAATTAAAAACCACTTCCATGTGGTCCCAAATTAACAAATCAGTGCCATTTATGTTTATTTATTTAAAGCTACTAAAGACCATGGAAAACTCCGGCCACACTAGCTGGTCTTTAATTGGAGGGAGACCTCTATTCAAAAAGTTCTACCTTACCATCATTTTCAGGATGAGAGCTTGAGAAGAGGATGGAAGACTCTGCCCAGAGGATGGTCTTCGTTGCCTCCCAGAAGATGCCACCAGAGAAAAACCAATGATCAGTCCAATAAAAAGCACCACGACATAGACAGCTACGGAGAGCGAAATCCGCAACATCTCAGCTTGATAGAGTGCTGCACCGAGGCCTACTGTCGCTGTAAGCGTGTATCTGTTGACTAAATGTCTTCCTTCTAACATGATGAGTTCTTTCTTTAAATTTTACCTGTGAAAAAAGGCCAATTTAATTATCTAATAAACAAGTTACTATCAGAGAATCTTTGGTGCCACTACATACCATAAACCCTTAGACAGAAGCCCAATGGGCTTTACCTTGAGAAGAAGCCCATCTCGAATTGAAAATCTACCAAAAATACCTGTCCTATCCAGCTGCCTAGGCCTAGACTTGCATACTAAATAAGGAACACAGTGCTAGTTTTTACATACTGTAGGCCGCTTGCCCTAGTTAGAATACTAAAAAATAGGACAAATAGTTTTAATTACTGTAGGGCTTACAAGAATATCAATACCAGACTAAACAGTTTACAATGGTTACCCCATTTACATAGGGGATATGCATGGATGAATTACCAAACAATTACACGAGCGAGAGCGGCACAATAGG